CAGCAGAGTGAGTTAATGAGGCAAGACCTATAAGATAGCTTAGGAACCGGAGAGACAATTTCCAGAGACACAGAAACACATCTCAGATTTCCATTTGGAGAGCACGCCAGTTAGTCCTCTTCTAGTTCATGGCTAGTGCCTCCTGGAGGCATTTGGGGGGCATTCTCTGCTCAAGATGCTAAACAGAAAATAAAGGCTGGAACACACAAAAGATGATTCCAGTTAACCAGAACAAATGGAGGCAATAAGACTGAAGGAGCTATTTGGTAAAGTAGTGAAGATTCAGAGCATGAATAGCTATTGAAGAAAACAGGAAAACTATTACCCGTGTAGCCAGAGCAGCACTGTAGAATTCAAATCGGTCATGGGTTATGCCAAAATCCTGATGGAAAGAATAATATTGCTACCAACTGAGGACTTACAGTGTGCCACACTCTTTAAAAAGATTCCTAGTGATGATTACTGTTTTAGAGATGAGGCACCCAAGGCTAGAAGAGGTCGGTGGCCAGTCACATGGCAACCTGAGTTTCAAACATCAGAATGTGTGGATTCAGGGCCTGTGTTCTTGGAAGCGTAGGCAAAAAGAGGGACATCTCTGGAGGAGTCCCCCTACCTCCCAGCATCTTAGGAACATAATTCCAAATTTTTCATTGCAACTGCCAGGCAGGGAGGTATTTGGAGCCCTCTCAGTGGAGATGTGCCAGTGGCAGGAGGCCTGGAGCCGTGTTCCTGTACTGCTGGAGTTCATGGCAGCTATAGAAGGAACAGCAGCAGCTAAATGCAAGAATCAGGAATGAGTCATAAAGGCAAGTTACCACTGCCTACATGAACCAAAGATATGAAAGACACTTGCTAGAAAAATCACTGTCTTACTTAAGAATGCAGGATAAATATTTTCAGATATTCTGCATTTGGGAACAGAATCCCATTTTCCAAATACACCCACCGAGGTCATTTTAAATAGAAAAACATATGTGTTGGGCATAGCTGCTATAGCCCATCCATTTGTCCTGATCCCCTTCTTTTGCCTCTAGGAGGTTCCCCATCCCTCCCAGGTAGCTTGCTTCAGTCGGTTTATGAAGACATCCCCTTTCGTTCCTTAGAGGATCCCACTTTGGAGAGTTGAATAGATGCTCCTGCTCAGTGACCTTGATGAAAGGGGTGGGGAGGGAGGGAGGGGACTAGTCTGGGGACATAAGGACCTCCTTCATCCACGCTGAACCCTAATGTTGCCAGTGACATGAGTCAACCAAGTTGCTTTCACTTTTAGTTTGTTTGAATTGCATGTCTGCTGCTTGCAATAGAAAAACAATTGAGGAATTTGAGGGGCTGACATCGCTCCAGATCTTTCTCAAAGGCAAGTGCTTGTGCTGAGCACTTCATCTGATTTGTGTCATTAAACCTTGGTGAAAATCATGCCAGTTGGCGATCCTGCCATAATTGAAAAGCCCAATGTTCAGACATAAATGTCTTGTTCAAAAGCCATAATAATCAAACCTGCATGGTATTGGAACAAAAACAGACACACAGATCAATGGAACCAAATAGAAAACCCAGAAATAAACCCACAGATTTACAGTCAACTAATCTTTGACAAAGGAGCAAAGAATATGCAATGGAACAAAGAAAGTTTGTTCCATAAATGGTGCTGGGAAAACTGGGTTGCTACATGCAAAAGAATGAAGCTTGACCACTACCTCACACCATGCACAAAAACCAACCCAAAATGGATTAAAGAACTAGACATAAGACCTGAAGCCATAAAATATATAGAAGGAAATATAGGCGAAACACTACATAACATACACCTCAGTAACATCTTTAAAGACTCATCACCCAAAGTAGTGATAGCGAAAGCAAAGATAAACAGCTGGGACTACATCAAATAAAAGAACTTCTGTACAGCAAGAGACAGTAACCAAAACAAACAGGCACCCCACCGACTGGGAGAAAATTTTCGCACACAACATTAATGATAAAGGACTGATCACAAAAATCTACAAAGAGTTGACAAGTCTTGACAAAAACAAAGTAAATAATCCACTCAAAAAATGGGCACAAGTGGGCCTCCCCGGTGGCGCAGCGATTGAGCGCTAAGTTGTGAAGCTGCCTGCAGCCTCTGCAGCGCCAGTTCGATCCCCTACCTCACTGTCCCAAACCCTCACAGCTCTACAATCTTTCTCACCAGCGATCTTCTCTTTTTTCCTTATGGAAAGCATGTGTGGCATTTATCCACAACTTGACCTTGAACATATTGATGAGACTTTGGACCCTCAGTTGCCAGGGGATACCACTACCGCCTCAAACACAGTCTTGCTGCAAGCATCAGCATGATGGAAAGGAAAATGTTTGGCAGCCTGCAAAGTACTACTTGTGTGGGTTGTGTTGTCATTGTTCCCTTAAGTTACAGTTAGTCTTGAACAAATCCTTATTTCACTCTATAGTAGGCCAGCAAAGGTATGCAGTAGGCAGACCGCCACCTTGGTCTGCCTTCATGGATTTTCCAGGAGGAGGTTATTTCAGTGCTGAAATGGGGAAAGTCCTGGGGAATGCAGGTGGCTGGTGACCCTGTACTGACTTGTCATGGGGGTCCTCACACTGTATTCTTTGCCTGTGCATGGGTGATGGGGCTCTTGGAGAAGAGAAACTGTATCTTACTCAATGCCGGGTCCATCCTCCCTTGACTTAGCACAGATCTGATATACGTTGAGTTAATACTGACTCATGAGTAAGTGAATCAGTGAACAACACTGAGAGTGTGGCTTAGATACTCATACTTGTTATGGAAAGGCATTGGCCAGGAGGTGCTGAGGTTTAAAGGAGGCATTGGCAGGACACATTGAAGTTCAAGATGGGCTTCAGATGCATGGAAGGCACAGGGGAGTATATCTAGAATTTTTCCCACTCTACTCGCTACGCCACATTGAATTAGTAACTCCATCCATCCATCCATCCATTCATTTATTTATTGGAGATCTTTGTGGCTAAGCACTGCTTTCTTAGTTTCTGCATTTATACGATGGAATAATTACACATCCCTTCAAAGGTATGTATAGGAGCTAAGAAGTGAGGTCATGTTTATATGGGGCCTATATTACCTATTAATGGTGGTGATGGTGCTGATATCTATTACCTACAACATTTACTCCTGATAAAGCATTCAATCATCCACATTGAGTCTTTAATCACAAATGAGCTCACTTTGAATCTCTTTTTGACATTGACTATGGTTCTTCCAAGAGCTCCCATGAGGTAGAACTTGGGTTTTCAGACCTTGCAATGAGAAAGGAGAGGAGTCCAGCCCCCAAGATTCCATCTTTTGAAATTGCATGACTCACCCACTGTCACCCTGAGAGGGAGAAAGGAGCCCGCACTTCTCTCAGCCTGCCCTGACGGGCTGTGAAAGATCCAGTCCAGACTTCTGTTTGTATCACATCACATTATCGCTTACTGAAATGAGATGGGACAGACCTGGAGAGGCAGAGACCTCCTCTCTGCAGCAAGACATCACTTTATATATGGACATCACTCAAGTCTCTGTACTCTGAATCAAAACACACTCAGAGGCAGAGCTGGTTAATGGTCCTTGGAAAAGAAGTCTCTGGGGATAAGAATGATGATGCTAAAGCTGTCCTCCAAGCATGAACATCTGGAACCTGAATGCAAAAGGGTCATATAACTTTTAAGTAGGCATGGGCAGTTGGGAGCATGAGTTAGTGTCTGGCTTGTGTGTTTGTGAAGGTTTGTTGGTAAACACTAGGAAAAGGAGGATGAGAGCTATCTTCTCAACCCCTGGACCAATATAATTTTCTTTAATGCCCAGGCATTGATTTATCTACTCTTTCCAAATTCCCAGCAAAATCATCAACAGGCTGCAGTAATCCATATTATGTAATAATAATAATTTTATTACTGTTGTTGTTGTTAGGTCAAGAACATTCCTTGACTTTTATGCAAATTGTAGCTTGTAGCAGTGGATAAATGGATGGATAGCAGAACTGAACTACAGGGAACAAAACCTGCTTAGGAAGAATGTTTAGCAAGACAGGATGACTTCTGAACTACAATCTGAGATACAGCACTTATTGTAGAGTTGATGATAACCTGTTCAATATGCTGCAGGATTTTTATTTATTTATTTATTTATTTATTTATTTATTTATTTATTTATTTAAGGTTTATTTATTTATTTATACAAGCACTGGGTACAGTCAGAAGCACAGGAGGGTGAGACAATTCACCAAAGCCAGAGCGGGTAGCAGAGCAGGCAGACTGACGAACTACACTGCTGAGGGGAGAGCGAACGGCAGGAGAGGTCTGCGCGCCATGTAGTACCCTCGCCCAGCGGCCCGGGATCAAACCGGCGCTGCAGAGGCTGTGGGCAGCTTCACAACCCAGCGCTCAACCGCTGCGCTACCGGGGAGACCCTGCTGCAGGATTTTTAGACAAAGGCTCTTGGTGCCGATTGGGAGATGGGTGGGTTGGCAGTGGGCACCATCCATCGGCTGCCCCTCCAGGGTGATTCTGAAAGTTAATGATGCTCAGATCAAAGATACTGTATGTGCCACATTCCTGCCCCCCCCACCCCGCATCTACTATATTCAAGGACACTACAGTTAGAGAAGAGGGGTGGGGGGATGTGCATGTTCCTATTAACTGTGTACTACAATGACAAAATCAGGAAAGATATCATTTCATGTAAATAAGTAAGCCCTTTTCTTCCTCTAAAAGTGGTCTTTTTTATGACCCCCAATGATCACTCAGTTTGAGCAGCATTAGTAGGAGGGCAAGAGAAGAAATTCTCAGCAAAATAAAAATTCAGAAAGAATAGCACCAACATATTCTTCTATACAAAGAAATACTTGTTATAATCAAGTTATTCTAAAAATAAATAAAGATATAAAATAAAACTCAAGTTATGGAAATATGAAAGAAATGGCGATGAGGAGTGACACCAACAAATAACTGGAGTATCTTCTTATGTTTGCTATTTCATATAGGTTACACAACCTAAAGGCATGAAGATAGTACCATGAGAGCCAGATGAGTCTGTGACATCTGCGATGTCAGCTTGGCTGCGATGCCATTTGACTTGTGTTTGATAACTGCACAAGGGTTACTTTCTGCGTAGCCAAAGGGAAGAGAGTGTTCTTCAGGTGGGAAAGAGGCAATGAGACTTTCAAATCCATAGTGTGTGTGATAAGAGCATATAGAAAATGTCAACATGAGGATTTCTGCCTATGTGAATATATTTGAAATTTGAATACATTTGAATTTGAATATATTTTTATTTGTACTTTCTACCCAAAACTTACACAAATGTGAGTCAAAGGATTTTAAAAACAGGCATAAACCAACAAGGACAGAGATTGGGGGAGGAGATAAGAGCAGCACAAATTTGGAAAACTGAAGAGAGAAAATGAAGACATCATTGACCTAGCAGAGGTTGCTAATAGCAATCCTCTCAAAGGAATGTGACTCATGCACAGGGCTTGAAAGTGGGGCTTCCAATGAGGTTAGAAGCAAAAGATGGACCTAAGCATTTACATTAAAAAAAGTTAAAGTTGGACACCTGGCCAAAGATGTGACACTTGCGCATCCTTGCAGAAGAATGACATTTTATCCCTGGTGATGGTGCCTTAGAAGATGAACAGATTCTGGGATCCCAAACATAAATGAGGCCAGGGCTGTCAAGCTGATCATAGGAATTAAGTGAAAATACACATGCCAAATGGCAAGTGATACTTCTCTCCACTGGGCAACCTTCCCACTCAGGGATAAGAATACTTCCATCCAGGCTTATCGAAACCACAGCAAGATATTGGAAAGTAAATTTGGGAAAAGCAGATTAGCCTAGGAGAAAAGACCTATAGGAAAATGACAGTTGTAAGAAACTTCCCATCTCAATCCTCCCCCACAGGAATAAACTTGGCCAAATCACCCTATAGTGAAGTCAACCAGCTAACTTGTCAACCTGTCCTTTCCACATATACCAAGCTTCTAATCCTCTTTTTGAGCCTCATTCTGCATGGGAAAGGACTTCTTTACAGAAAAAAACAAACTAGCCAACTAAGAAAGCAGTCAACCACCACTACTACTACCATCACCAGCATCATCACTGTCACCACCATCATCAACACCACCATCACTGCTACCACCATCATCAACATCACCACTATTACCAGCAACAACAAAAATCAACTAGAATTGAGAAGTAGAAGGAAACATTTGTTCAAAGCAAAATATACTCAGCAAAATAAAAGAGAAATAGTATTTGTGAAACTAAGAGAGAAGGCTATAAAACAAGTATTCAAAGAAAAATAAAGAGTTCTTGAAAATTAGAAAATCACTGAAAGATTTAGGAAGATAATGTGAAGGATATGTCTCAGAATATAGAGCAGTAAAAAAGGAAATGGAAAAAATAAGAGAATTAAATGGATACCTTCTATCTGAAAGTCAAATATTGTTTTAAATTAGAGTTTCAGAGTAAAGAAGATTAAAAATAGAGAAGTATCATTGCTGACAATGGTACAAAAACATTCCTAAAACTGATATCCATTCATAAAACTAAGTATGCAACATAAAAATTAAAAAAGGACTAATACCTCATTAGAAAATTTAATAATGTGGGCCTCCCTGGTGGCACAAGGGGTTAAGATGCAACCTATGAAGCTGTCCATAGCCACTGAAGCACAAGTTCAATCCCCAGCCAGGGAGCTACCCACATGGCACAGCAGACCACTCCTGACTCACCTGCTGCTCCCCTCAGCAGTGTATTTCAGTCAATCTGCCTGTTTTGTTCCCCACTCTGGTGAATTCTCTCACCCCCAACACCTCTGGCCTGTACCCCAGTTCATGTATGCATAAATAAATAAATCTTTAAAAAAAAAGAAAATTTAATAATGCAGAAGTTGGGCTGCGGTGCATGATATACACTGGTTGCCTATAGGGAAAGTGAAATTAGAATGGAGTTGGACTCTCAATAGCAATGCACACATACTCACAAAATGGGGCCGAGTTCTCAAAACTGGAGGGAAAAACAGTGTCCATTCTGGAATCCTATATATCCATCCAGCAACCAAATATTAGGGTGCATCCTTTTTCAGGAATTAACTGAATGATGTGCTCTCCTGAAACAAGAGAGAGAAAACTATCCATGATAGACATGGATCCAGAAAACATGGTCTCCAAAAAAGAAAAAAAAAAACAAAAAACAGGGTAGGGGGTGCCAAGGAGACGGTGAAGGAAGAACCCAGGACCCAGTCAAGCAGCAGTAAAACACTGCTTAAATCAGTGTCAGATGACAGTGCCAATGTGGGGACAGTTCATGTCTATGGGGTCTCACCTGTGCACTAACAATTACAAGACCACTCCAGCTCAGGAAGCAACAATAGGACTTATTTAACAAACAAGAGATTGGGGAAAAGGAAAGATTTTCTAAGGCCAAAGGTGGCCAGCTATCACCCCAGATAGTGTCCACAGTGTCCAGATGTCCCAAATAAAGTTCACTTCTGAAAGAGGAAGTGACACTGCAGGCGCCCACGGCCACAGTCTGAAGGCTGGACTGGGCACTAGACTGGACAGCCATAGACTCAAATGCACCAGGAGGTGGTACTGGACAACCAGAGGCTGTGGTCAGCTCTTTAAGGAGCCAGGCCAAGGCTGATGTACCCCTTGACCTGATGTCGAGGTAGGGCATGAGGCCGGGTCTCCACAGAGCTCTAGAGAGGTCTGAAGGTCTAGAAGTCTGGAAGCCTACAGCGGTCTGGTGGATTCCAAGGAGGTCGCCTGCTGAGTACTTCTCCCTTTACAGAGGCTGCCTGATGACTGCTTCCTCTGCAAAGCAGGTCCAAGGAATCCTTCTCCTAGCTTCAGAGGCTAGCTGCTCACTCATTCCTTGAGCTGGCCCTTGCTCTGCCTTATATTCTTTTCAGGATCCCCTACCCTACAAACTGATTGGATTATTTCTGATCCCAAGCATCTGATTGGACCATTCAGCACCAATCAGCTCATTTTCCATTTTCAATCCCAATAAATTAACTCAAGGTCGATAGAGAGCTGGAGAGGTCAAACCTGATTGGTTAACTTAGGATCCTAGGGACAAATAAAAGGGGGAAGCCCAGCCTCCTGTAGTCAAGTCAGGGCAGGCTTGGGGGCCATGGAGTGAGCTGGCCTCCCTGAGGTCCAGGCTGGGGAACATTCACAGGTGGTGGGCTGAGGTGTGCCTCTGTCCTAAAAAAGATAACTTGCCCTGTGGCCTCTGGACATCATGGTGATGTTGTTACAGGAGGAGGCTGTGGTAGGTCCAGCTGGGAGCAGGGAGAGGCACCTCTTAGAGAGTTGTGACAAGAAGATGAAAATGATTAAATCCTAGATGAACGTATTGGGAGAAGATTTACAACACACTGGGAAATTCTAGAATGAATTAGTGATAGTCATCATAAAAAAACTAAGCTCTTGAAAGAAAATGAGATAACCTCAGCAACAGCAAATAGTTATAAAAGAAAGGAAATGCAATCATACAAGCCTCAGCTGTGAATAATCTTATCTGAGCAAAATAATGTGTACACAGAAAAATTGCTCTAATTAATCAAAATGTCACAACCTCATTGGGAGGATGAGTAGAGAAAAAATCTTATGCTGAAATGGAGGGTGTGCAAAAACTAGATCCTCATCATCTTCTGCTAGAAGTCCCAGAACAGGGCCTCCCAGGGGAAAGAACTTTCCAGGTGATGCTTTTTGCTGACACTTGGCTCCATGTTTCTAAGCCATGCAGTTCTGTGACGCAGAATGGGTTGCGCCCCTGGTGGCGCAACGGGTTGAGCCCAGTGCTGTGAAGCTGTCCGCAGCCTCTGCAGCAAGAGTTCAATCCCCACCAGCCTCGGAGATGCATGGCAGGGCAGACCTCTCCTGTCTCGCCCGCTGCTCCCCTCAGCAGTGTATTTCAGTAAGTCTGCCTGTTCTGTCCCCTGCTCTGTCTCTGGTGAATCCTCTCACCCTCCTGCACATCTGGCCTGTACCCCGGTTCTTGTATAAAAATAAATAAAAAGGAGTCCCAGAACAATATATAAATCCAGAAATAGTCACAGAGAGGCCTCCCTGGTGGCACAAGGGGTTAAGTCTCAGCACTATGAAGCTATCAGCAGCACGAGTTCGATCTCCGGCCAGGAAGATGATCCACATGGCACAGCACACCTCTCCTGTCTCACCCACTGCTCCCTTCAGCAGTGTATTTCAGTAGATCTGCCTGTTTCTTACTCTGTTTCTGGTGAATCCTCTACCCACCATACCTCTGGCCTACACCCCAGCTCTTGTATGCATAAATAAATAAAATAAATCTTAAAAAAAAGTCACAGAACTGCATGGTTTAGAAACATGGAGCCAAGTGTCAGCAAAAAACATCACCATGGAAAGTTCTTTCCCCTGGGAAGCAGACATCTGTGGTAAAGAGGGCAGAGCATGCATTGTTCTTTTATTTCTCATTTTATTTTTTATAGCACCAACTGTGTATTGCTATCTGACTGCTTATGTGTGATTATAGTTCTAATGAAAACAAAAATTAATTAAATGTGTTGTTTAAATGTATTGAGGTATAATTAATATACAAAAAAACTGTACATCTATAACATCTACCTCTTGATGACCTTGGACATTGTAGTAAGTTTGGTGTGGGGAGTCTTTAGGGTAGGGTGAATGGGGGAGTCAAGGTCTACAAAAAAGTCAGATTTTTGTTGTTGGTTTTGAAAATCTGCTGCCCTTCTCTCCCTGGCTATCATGAATTCCTCTAGATTCCAGGTAAATCAAGCTGAAATGGGATAGAACAGTTGAAATGCATGGTAGCACATGTAGATCACCAATCCTGAGTGTGTTCAATAACAATGGGAACTTCTTCTTTTATAAAAGTAACACACAACTATTGCTAAAAAGAAAAAAAAAATCACATAGAAACAAAAGAGAATGTCCCCTACCCTCTGCTCTGGGCACACACTGTCCTCCCCAAAGCTCGTGACATTTGACAATTCGGTGTCTGTTACTTCTTTCTTTTTGTTTTTGCCGATCAGATGCCTCTGTTTAAGATGCCCAGATTCTGCGCTCCTGACTATCCCGACGCCGTGAGCACAGTAAGTAAGTGGGCATGCCGCAGGAGGAATGAAACAAGAGGAGAGTGAAGGGTAGTTCCCCGAGGTAGTTCCCCTCCGTCCTAGCCTAAGGCAAATTGACTGGTGAGGGCCGAGGGACTGGGTCTGGCTGATAATGTAGCAAAACTTGGACACTGTGTCAGCAGCAGAGAGGAAGTTGCACAGACATTCCTCTTTCCTGGGGCTGGCACGCAAAGCCGGAGAGCCGTTTCCATGGAGACCGGGACACTGGAGATGGTCCCTGGAAGTGCTCCTTGGGGCTTGGCGACAAATAGAAACATTAGCAAGCAGAGGCCTAAATATAGCTGCATTCAGGGTGACGCATCAAGACCAAACGTTGCTAGAATGTGGCTTTGGAACAATCGCACCGAGCACGACACAGCGATGTTTTCAATATTTTACAGTGTTTACACTACCGTCAGAGGAAGTATCTCACCGAAGGCGCAGAAAGGCGGGGGCACTTGGTTTTGTCCTTCTGAATATGTCACCATCACAATCCGGCCTGGGGATGGCGGGACTCAACCCAGAGATGTTTTTGTGATCAGGAAGTCTCTTCACGGCCGGAGATATCCTTGGGGAGGACCCCACAGAAAAGTGTTTTCTCCTGCTGAAGAGAAAAAATGTAATTAGAAAAAAAAAAAAAAAAAACATGGACATTTCCCCTTCATCGCTCTGCCCCAGGGAACTGTAAATTCTGGTGTGCATTGTTATGCAGAAAACATTTTGCTCTGCCTAGCTCCTACACCCATATTTGCACCTGTAAACTTGCAGTCCATCATGCACTGTCAGTTCACAGCACAGCCAGCTCACAGCTACCAGGATGCACTTCCCCAAATTCATTCACTCAGTAATTATTCAATGTGCCACTACCATGTCCCAGGCGGGATGCAGCTACATGCAGAAGAAAGGAAGACAACAAAGGTTTCCAGGAGCTTCTATGCCAGTCCCTCAGCCCATCAAAAGGCAATTTCAAATTGTAATAAATATTACAAAGAAAATAACAAGATAATGCCAGAGCAAGAGAAAGATTTGGGAAGGCTTTAACCAGGAGATCAGGGGGTGCCTCTTAAAGATTTAACCTTGGAAATGAGACCTGAAGGACGCAAAGATCAATGGGAGGAACATCTCTGGTGGAGGGAATGGCAAATACACACTCAAAGGTTGAGCCAGCCTTGGGGGCTGAAATCATGAGCAGAGTTGGGGGAAGGTCAGAGAGACAGGTAGGGAGAGGTGATTAGGACTCTCTGTGCTAAGAAGTTTCCCAGAAGGTAGGTAAGCAATTGCCTTGGGTAGTGTAGGGTAAATAAATGGTTTTCAGGTTTTTCTGCCCTCCCATTAGGATTACCCTGCCTGATGGGGCACCTGCAGTTGTTAGATTGTTGTGTTGTTTACTTCAGTGGCCATGGGAGTATAGAGATAGTCACCGAGAGAAGCAGGAGAAGAAGCAGGAGAGGGAAGGGGAGAAAGAAGCCAGAGAAGCCCAGAGTGAAGACTTGCTGGGCACTTGGGGGCCTGCCGGTCTCCTGCCCCCTCCGCCCCTTCCCCTCACCCCTGCCTGCCATGTACCTGGTTGCTGCTCTATATGTAACAGCTCAATAAAAGCCTGAGAAAGCCATCGAGGGCTCCCAGGACTCCTTTACCCATCTGCTGGATCAGAAAACCTGCTCTGTGCCCATCCTGCCACTACAGGTAGCAACAACCTCTTGGGCAATAGTCTGTCCAAGTAGCCTTCTAACAGGACTCCCCTAAGCCCTGGGCTTTTCCCATTCACAAATGATATCTCTGGTAAGAGAACAGAATTCCCTCTTTGTGGCTAGCAGGAAGCTCAGAGCTGGATGCAGAACCTCTGGGTATGTACTTTTCTACCTTAATTCCATTTCCTGCCTGACTTTTCTTTCTCTTTTCTTTTCCTTTAGTTTCTCCTTAAATTTTTTCTGTCCACTGCACTCCAAGCCCTGCTGAAACCTATCTCAGGCATTTTAGAACAAGGGGTACAGATGAATACACACACATCTCATTCCCATTCCACACGACTGACACCTTCCTCCTGGCCTGTGGTGACGTTTCTGAAAAGCATTTGTCTTCAAGGCTCATATAGCAGCGGTAAGCTGCATTATAATTTGTGGGCCCTGGGCATTTTTTAACTTTGTGGGTCCCCTCTCATTTTAAAGAAAAAACTTAAATGGCATTTGATGACTATTGGTGTAAAGACATATTAGTATCCTTTTCAAAACATTTTCTTTGGGGGCCTCCCTGGTGGTGCAGGGGTTAAAGTCTAAGCACTATCAGGCTATCACCAGCCACTGCAAGACAAGTTTGTTCCCAGCCAGAGAGCTGACCCACATGTCATAGCAGACCAGAGAGCTGAACCATATGTCATAGTGTTAGGGGGAAAGGGATGTCCTAAAGCTAATTCCATAGAGGCTTTGTGGACTCCACCCCCACCCCAGGCCAAAGCCAAAGACACTGGGAACTCCAAATCCCATCACCACCAAAGGGAAGGCGGCTGGGACCTGAGGGTGGGGTTAAGCAGCCAGGGTGGTATAAAGCCAGACATGTAGGCTTTGGAGGGGTCCCCCCATTTTGACTCTCCGCCAGCTCGCAGCGTCCGGCCAGCTCGGAGTGTGCTTTTTGGTTTTCCAGGTAGGCAGATAGGGTAGGACGCATTAAAGACTTTATTTCCCTCTTTTCTCCCTGAGTTATACATTTCCTTATTTCCTTTTCCCTTGTAAATAAACCTTTTATTAACCTTTGTGTATGTCTGTAGTGGAGTATTAATAAGCCCCTTGTAAGCGCGCGGGTGAGAACCCACAGCCAGGCAACCCATTCAATATCAGGGTTGCTCTATAACAATAGCAGACCAGAGAGCTGACCCACATAGCACAGCAGACCAGAGGGCTGACCCACATGGCACAGCAGACTTCTCCTATCTCACCCACTGCTCTCCATAGCAGTGTATTTCAGTAGGTCCACCTGTTCTGCTCCCCATTCTCTCGCTGGTTAATTCTCTCACCTCCCCCTGCACCTCTGCCTACACCCCAGTTCTTGCATAAATAAATAAAGATAAATCTTAAAGAAAAAAAAATAAAAAGCATTTCTTTAACTTAAAAACTCCTCTTTCCCCTTGCAATTAAGACATAAAAATTAGGGGGCCTCCCTGGTGGCCTAGGGGTTAAGTCTCAGCACTGTCACTGCCACAGCCTGAGTTCCATCCCCAGCCAGGGAGCTCACCCTTATATGGCACAACAGACTCCTCCTCACTCCCCTGCTGCTCCCCTTACCAGTGTATTTCAGTAAATCCACCTGTTCTGCTCCCTACTCTGTCTCTGATGAATCCTCTAACCCCCCGGACCTCTGGCCTACAATCCAGTTCTTCTGCAAATAAAAAAATAAAAATAAATCTTAAAAAAAAAAATTAAAAATATTCCACTGTGGGCCTCCTCTGGTGGCGCAGCAGTTGAATGCTGGGCTGCGAAGCTGCCTGCAGCTCCTGTAGCACCGGTTCTATCTCTGGTCCGTGGCTAGAGTCCCACATGGCTTTCAGACCTCTCCTCCCATGCCTGCTGCACCCTTCAGCAGTGTATTTTGTCAGTCTGCCTGTTTTGTTCCCCGCTCTGGCTCTGGTGAATTCTCTCACCCTCCTGCACTTCTGACTGTACTCAGTGCTTGTATAAATAAATAAAGAAACAAACAAACAAATAAATAAATAAATCTATCTTTAAAAATAAATCCATTTTTTCATGGATAAATAAGTCAGTCTTAGTTGCAGATGAAGATAGTTAACTGTTATAAATGGGGCCGAGAATGAAAATGACCCTGCAGCTTAGAAACACCCCTGGCAGTGATGGTGAAACCACTTCTCAGTGCCCTGAGAGGGCCTTTGCTGCAGCAGATGGGGTGGAGCACTGGGATGAAAGCCAAGGGCCCCAGTCTAGTCTCACCGCTGCCACCAAGCAACTGGGTTGGTTGAAAGTCATTGATCCAGAGGTCTCCCTGGGGTGCAAGAGGTTAAGCACAACACTATGAAGCTATCTGCAGCCTCTGCAGCACGAGTTCAATCCCTGGCTGGCCAGGGAGCAAGCCACATGGTGTGGCAGACCTCTCCTGTCTCACCCTCTCCTGCTTCTCTCAGCAGTGTACTTCAGTCAGTCTGCCTGTTCTGTTCCCTGCTCTGTCTCTGGTGAATCCTCTCACTTCCCACACCTCTGGCCTGTACCACAGTTCTTGTATGCAGAAGTAAATAGATATTTTAAAAAAGAAAAAGAAAGTCATTGATCTATAGAGGACTGAGACTGGTTCAAGCTGTTAAATTGGGGATGGGGAGACCATTGGAATAGGCCAAAGTTTGTAAGAAATAAATCGCCATCCTTCCAGGAGGGGTTCTTTGTTAAATGCTTACTATGTGCCCGCAAGTGTGCATGTATAATAAATGTGTCTTCATATTTGAAAAGGTTGAAAAGCTCTTAAAAGTTTTGCATATTTTTTAGTCAGTTGTGACTCTTAAAACATACCAAGGTGCTTCTTGTTCAAAAGAGCAGGCCTCCTAAACCGTTAGGGTTAGAAGCACCATATTTAGCATGTAAAAAATACAGAATATTCAGTTAAATTAGGGATTTCAACAAACAAGATGTAAATTTTTAGTGTCAATGTTGTGTACAATATTTGCATTATCTACCAAATCTTTGTAGAACCCAAAGGGGATATGTAAGTGAGGGTGGAAAGGACTGGGTTATGGACAATGTGGGGGTAAAATTCAGGGCATTTACATAGGAGAAGGTAAAAGAAGATAAATTGTTAGATGAGCTAATATTTATAAAGTTAACTTCTGAAAAATGTCATCTATGGCCAAATGAATAATTCCCAAACTAATCACACCCAATGAACTCAGTAAATTTTTTTCCAAGGATAGCCTGTAGCTAATCAAACATCAGCTCTCTAATCGGTGCCTAGCTCTATGACTTCATCAACATCTTATCAGGCTTTCTGGTTAGCATGAGGCAAACCACTGATGTGTTGACACATTTATGCTAAATCGGTATGATCCAACCAGAACAAATTGAGGCAGCCTGAATGAATATACAATGGGAGAGTAGACAGTCCCCGCTGGGGTATTCTCAAGCACTGAAGATAGTTCTAAGACCTTGAGGGACCCTAGTGAGGACCCCAGAATTCACACCAGGGATTGCAGTCTTTAAACAGAGAGAACATTTAATATGCTGTAGATTACACTACCCAATTCCATGTGTTACTTTCTGCCTGTCTTCAAGTGACAAGTTAGTCAGGCTTTGTTTCCAAGTAGCTCAACAAATTGGGCAAGTCTTCAGTCCCTCCTCCCCCTTGAAACACTCCATCAAAGCAAAAGTGCTCAAGTGCCTGAGCATTGGGACAGACTTGTGCTTTAAAAAAAAACATGTGGGTAGAGTCAGAAAGTCTGTTAATTAAATAATAATTATAACTAAGACATAAGAATTAATTAGCTAGAGAAAAATCTAGCATCAGCATAAATAGCTTTTAAGTGCAAAATAATCTTACTCCCAATTTTAATTGCTTATGTAATTAGAGTTAATTGCAGAGTAGAGGTTTGGTTAACATAATAAAATGTTCTTTTTTAAAAAAAAATAGTGATTAGGTAGTTAGCCAGAACATTGAAAAGAGTTTATATTTCAGGGGACAATGAAAGACCATGTGGCAGGGTTTGGTGCATGGAATCTGGAGGCAGATAGACCTTGCTGGTAACATGGCCCCAGAGAAGTCCTTGGCATCTTAGGGTCTTACTCTTCTCTGGAATAAAATGGTACTGAAACCATTTTCCTCTATAAAAGGCTTTGTTTTTCTGGGAGTTAAATGAGGACTGGTGGATCAGGTGCCTAGTCAGGGGTATGGCACATTGGCGGGAGAGTGGGTAGCCATGGCTAGGTCCCTTCTACTGATGTCCTCACCTAACTCTTCATAGTTCCCCATCTGACTTCTACACCATTATGGAGACCAGCTGCACAGAAGGCTC